AGGTTGCTGTGAGCTAGGATGACGCCACGGCACTCTAGCCTGGGCAACACAGTGAGACTCTGTCTCAAAAAAAAAAAAAAATATTCTGTAAAGACAGGGTCTCATTATGTTACTTAGGCTGGCCTGCAACTCCTGGCCTCAAGGGATCATCATGCCTCAGCCTGCCAATTGTGCTAGGATTACAGGTGTGAACCACCATGCTTGGCCTACTCTTGCTTTTAAAGTAGAAATGGAATTAGATCATTTGTGTTTAAGAAGTTCTTTTTTTTTTGAGACAGAGTCCAGGCTAGAGCACAGTGATGTCATCATAGCTCACTGCAACCTCCAACTTCTGAACTCAAATGATCCTCCTGCCTCAGCTCCTGAGTAGCCAGGACCACACCCAGCTAATTTTTTCTATTTTGGTAGAGACCGGGTCTTGCTCTTACTCAGGCTGGTCTCAAACTGCTGATCTCAAGTGATAGAAGTTCTCATTTGGAATGTCAAATAATGACAATAAAATAACATAACCAAACACATTACTTACTCTGTGCATGGCTCTATGTTAAATCCTCATCAAGAATTACCTCATTTAATTCCCAAAGGAAGTGTGGGGACCTAATTACATTTATGTTTTACGCACTTCTCTATATGTATTACATTTATAGTAAAAAAAGGTTAAAAAGAGAAAAAGCAGAACTTTTATTAATCTTTATTTAAAAATGTAACTAGGTCAGGCACAGTGGCTCATGCCTATAATCTGAGCACTTTGGAAGGCTGAGACAGGAGGATAGCTTGAGGCCAGGAGTTTGAGACCAGCCTGGGTAACATAGTGAGACACTGTCTTTGAAAATCAATCAATAAAAACATAACTAGATACACCTTGGTTGTTTACATTCTCTGGTTGCCATTCAATCTCAAAAATAAGCACTGGAAGCATATGATAAACAATAGTTTAATGAAGCTATAGTATCTATAGGATTCTCAAATGGTTACAATATAAAATTATAAAAATTAGTAAAAGATGCAAGATAGAACATATTTTAATACTGGTAAAATGGCAGTAGCAGCTTTGCAAATGTTTATCTGTATGATTTCCGTAGCATTTTTCTTACAAACTTTTATTCCACAAGAATGATCAAATCATTTAGAATAAATTGACAGATACATGGTATTTTATAATATTATGAACATTAAAAGTATCCCATAAATATTATTCTGTTACAAATACTCAGCAGCTTTATTATCAGTGATTATTCCCTTTATTCTTAACATAATATAAATGCAGCTAGCAGGCTTTTAAAAAAACTTTTACTATTATAGAAGCAGATGTATCTCTTAACTTTACTACCTGTTTAATTTTCATCCATAAATGTCTTATAAACATAAATGTGGGTCTCATAAACAGGACTGCCTCTTAGGTACATTGTCCCCAGCTCTACTTTCTAGTCTGGTGACTTTCCAGCAACACTCTGTTTGGCATCTCAAAGCAATATTTATCCGTGGAAATACAAGTATTTCTGGAAAATTGCTAAGTTATCTTTTTAGCCAAAGCTAAGCTGAGGATATTTTAAGGATATCATGTAGCTCTTCCCTGTCAGACTAGAGAGTTCAGTAAAGATCTGAAACCTCTTGCTTCCTTTTGGTGAGGAGCTTCTATCCTTATTCGTAGAACTGCAGAGGAAGACAACAGCATCAAAGCTCATCCTGTGCCTTTAGTCACACTCACCGTAATTACAGTTCCTCTTCCTCCATGTTACTTAGTACATATGTGATGGAGATCTTGGCCAAAGCTTAGTAGTGTCCACTGCTAAGCAGACATATCTGGCAAACTGGGGCCTCTCAGAAATACAGTATTTGTCAACTTTGCAGAGGACTGACTGATAAGATTGCTAAATAAAATACAGGATGTCCAGTTAAATGTAAATTTCAGATAATGAATAATTTCTTTTAACATAAATATGTCCTGTACAATATTTGGGACATACTTATACTAAAAAGTTATTTGTCATTTAATGGGACATGTTTATAGTTAAAAGTTATTTGTTGTTTATCTGAAATTCAAATTTACTTGGATGTCTTATATTCTTACTTACTAAATCTGGCAGTCCTAGATTGGCAGGACAATAAACTGATATAGCTTTTGCATACTTAGGCTGATGAGGACAGGGAACCGGGTCTCACAGTGAACTCAACATGGACTTCAGAGAATCCTTGGCAAGGCATTGTGGAATATACAAGGTTCATAAAAGTTTTATTTGGCTGCATGAATGTGGACAGCAGATATAAAATAAAGAATATCTCAGACTTCAGTAAGCCAGATATAACTACCTACCTAAGGTGTTACAAATGATACATTCTAATTTTTTTCTTTTAGAGATGGGGTTTCCCTTTGTTGCCTAGGCTGGAATATATTGGCTATTCACAGGCGTGATCATTGCACATTATAGCTTAGAACTCCTGGGCTCAGCAAGCCTCTTGCCTCAGCCTTCAGAGTATCTAGGACTATAGGTGTGTACCACTGTGCGTGGCTACAGTCTAATTTTTAAGGTCACATTGGGCCTTTTGTTTCAAATCTTTTTGGAAAATAGTTGCATTTGAATGGAGGATGATCTTATCACTTAATTGTTTATAAAAACAATTACAGAAATAAAATCTCTCCAGCTGACACAGAATTCAAAAGAAAATCTAGATGGTCTTTTTTATTGATCATGTTTGTAGTAATGAATGCATGTGTATTACAGGCTGCAATACTTTTCTTTTCTTCTGTTTTTTTCCTTTTTTTTGGAGACACGGTCTTGCTCTATTACCCAGGCTGCAGTGTAGTGGCCCAATCATAGCTCACTGTAACCCCAAATTCCTGGGCTCAAGTGATCATCCTGCCTCAGCTTCCCAAGTAGTTGGGACTATCGGCATGTAGCACCACACCCAGCTAATTTTTAAATTTTTTGTAGAGACAAGGTCTTGCTACATTGCTCAGGATGGTCTCGAACCCCTGGCCTCAAGTGCTCCTCTAGCCTTGGCTTCCCAAAGTGCAGGGATTACAGGCATGAGCCATTGTGCCCAGCCTGCTTTTCTTTTCAATTACCTGAGAATACTCGGGATGAACAGGAATCAGGCTATTTTCTTAATGTCATAACTGCACCCATACAGTACAAACTGGAGTTATCTAGCTAAAATTGAATGACCTCTGTAACCTAAATTGGGTAATTCCAGGATAAGCATCACTTTGGACATTACATTTTCCTATCTGGTTCTCTTGCTGATGGTGCAAACTAGAAAATATCCAAATACCTGTGCCTACTTTAAACCACAGTATGTGTGGACTCCATACCTACTCTAATTCTTCAAATTGAATTACATTAGTATATTTATAACACCCTATTACATTTTTTTTTTTTTTTTGAGACAGAGTCTCACTGTGTTGCCCGGGCTAGAGTGAATGCCATGGCATCATCCTAGCTCACAGCAACCTCAAACTCCTGGGCTCAAGCGATCCTTCTGCCTCAGCCTTCCGAGTAGCTGGGACTACAGGCACTCGCCACTATGCTCGGCTAATTTTTTCTATATATTTTTTAGTTGTCCGATTAATTTCTTTCTATTTTTAGTAGAGATGGGGTCTCGCTCTTGCTCAGGCTGGTTTCGAACTCCTGAGCTCAAACAATCCGCCCGCCTCGGCCTCCCAGAGTGCTAGGATTACTGGCGTGAGCCACCGCGCCCGGCCCCCTATTACATTTTAACAAAAGGATTTGGGTGATTTTATCTGTATATTTTAGTTTTTTGCTTTTTTGGGGGGAATGGGATCTCACTATGTTGCCCAGGCTGGCCTGGAACTCCTGGACTCAAGCAATCCTCCTGCCTCAGCCTCCCAAGTAGCTGGGATTACAGGATCCCACCACTGTGCCTGGCTTGGTATATTTTATGGATCATCACACGGAGTTAGGCAGAGTTGGCATCAGTTTTGTTCATCAAAGCTGCTTGTAGAATGTGGTAGAGCTTGAGTTGGGCTTCTAGGATGGGCCAGCTATAAAAAAAGAAGTTCCAATTATAATATGAGTCACGTTCCCATGGCCAACACAACTCTCCTTCCTCAACAGAACCCAGAGTTTTTTGCCCGGCAGCATTGCATCCAGATTCTAAAAACTACTTTTCCCAGTTTCTCTGATGTATTCAGAAGTTCCTGGATAAGGCCTCTTTTATTATTGTTGTTGTTGTTATTGTTGTTGTTATTTTTAGAGATAAGGTCTTGCTCTGTCACCTAGGCTAGAGTCCAATGGCATGATCATAGCTCACTGCAGCCTTGAACTCCTGGGCTCAAGTGATCCTCCCACTTCAGCCTCTGAAGTAGCTGGGACTATAGGCACATGCCACCATGCCTGGCTAATGTTTTTTTTTTCATTTTTGTAGAAACAAGGTCTTGCTATGTTGTCCAGGTTGGTCTCCTACTCCTGGCTTCAAGTGATCCTCCCACCTCAGTCTCCCGAATCACTGGAATCACAAGCATGAGCCACTGGGCCAGCTCAGGGCCTCTTTAAAGAGATGAGGGGTAGCTTAGATAACACACCCTTTTGCCTTTTGCCTTTTGCCTTTCTCCTTCTCTTGCCTAGAATGTGGACATGAGACTTCAGGAAGTGTAGCAATTTTGTACTATGAAGATAAAACCACACATTAAGAATGGAAGAACAGTGATGACATGGTGAAGCTACTGTACTTATCGTAAACTTCCTACTTCTCAAAGAAATATTTAGGTAAGAAAAATAAGTCCCTATTTGATTAAGCCTCCGTAGTCAGATTTCTGTTACTGATAGCCAAATATAAAACCTAACCGATACAGCTGCTTCAAAGTTAAAGGAAAAAGGAAACCTAAGGGCTGGGTGTGAAAAGTCATTCTATGTTTAACAACAATTTTTACTAGATATCCTCCTAGGAAATGGATTTTGGCAGCAATGACATATGGCATAGGTCTTAGCTGTGGTTTTTGTTGTTGTTCAATATGTGGGTTTATTGTTTACTATATTTTTATCTGTTTCCATAGTTCCCAGCCCACTGTACTTATTTATAGGGTGTGGCAGTGACAACAAGGATCCTAGAGAAAGGAAGGGGCTAAGACCTTCACTGAGGGTTCTTCCCTTTGCCCCTGCCCTTCACAATTTTTGGTATAATCAAGGAATGTGATTGAGGGTAAACTCCTATTGCATGCTCTAGTAGGAGGAAAGAGGAACCTGGCCACACCTCCAAAGAAGGCTGTACACTGTCCAGGAGGACCAAGTTGATTGACAAGAGAGAAATCATGCTGTTCCATAGAAGGCATTAATTCTTAAGGAGGGAAAAAAGGGAAGACAGTGTTGGGGTGGGAGAGTGTTGACAGGGAAGTCTGTGGTGTGCCTCTGCTGCCAGAAGGAGAAGGAAGTATAAGGTTCAAAGCCAAAGAGGCCAGCAACCCTATGTCCCAGAACTCCAGCAGGGGTGGCAGAAGGATGGCTGTCATCACAGATCCAATGATAGAAGTGATCATGGAAATGACTGACACAAACAGGGTTTGGAAAAGTCACACCAGGGCCAGCTGATCTACTGAATTTTGGTGTGTGGGTCATGGTACCAAGACCTTTTCCTATCAATCCTGTATCCCTGCATGGTCTGACTCCTGTCTACATCTCTATCCCTGTCTTTCACCACTGTCAGACTCCCGCTCATTTTTTTTTTCTTTTCTTTTTTCTTTCTTTTTTTTTTTTTTGAGACAGGGTGTCCCTCTGTCACCCAGGCTAGAGTACAGTGGCATCATCATAGCTCACTGCAACCTGAAATGCCTGGGCTCAAGCGATATTCCTGCCTCAGCCTCCTGAGTAACTGGGACTACAGGTACACACCACCACGCCTGGCTAATTTTTCTATTTTTTTTTAGAGATGGGATCTGGCTGTGTTGCCCAGGCTAGTCTCAAATTCCTGGCCTCAAGTGATCCTCCTGCTTCAGCCTCCCAAAGTGCTAGGATTATAGGCATAATTCACTGTATCTGGCCAGGCTCCCTCTCTATGTTACAGCCACACTGGTCACCTTACAGTTCCTTGGATAGGCCATGACCCCTCCCACTGTGGGATCCTTACACATGATGTTCTTTTTGCCTGGAACGCTTTCATTCCTGACATCCATGGTGGTACCACTCCACACCCTATACCCCACAGTTATCTTTCCCAGTTAATGCCTTATTTATCTTTCGACTCTCACCTCAAGCATCATCATTTCCTAAGGGAAGCTTTCCTGGATCATCCAGGCTAGGTCAAGTTCCTCTGCAGGTTCCCATAGAACCTTGTTCCTTTCCTTCACAGCATTTATTGTAGTGCATTATACAAACATGGGATTATTTGATTAATGTCTATTTTCCCCACTGGACTGAAAGCTCCAAGACAGTAGATCTGTGTCTGCCTTTGCTTACCACTATATCCCCATTACTTCAGCATAGTGCCTGCCATATAGGAAGTGCTTAATAAATACTTACTAAAGGAATTAATAAAATCAGACATTCATTGATAAAACAGAGATGATAATCCTAGCTATATCTCATAGAATTTTATAAAGCCTAAATATGAAAGTGTTTTCAAAGCATTTAAAAATTATTAGTATTGCTAAAAAAACTGCTTTAAATTATGATTCTAAATAAATTATTTTCAAGAAAAGGAACTATTTTTTTTCCCCCTAAAGAATTACCTGAAACTTTCTCCTCAAGGCCCTGGTCATTACTGGGGTCAGTCCAGTTCCTGTATCCATATTTTCTTTATTGGTAAGGGGGGTACCACCTGGGCTCCTGCAAAGGTATTGAAAATATCAGTAGTTGTGTTTCATTCCAACTTTTAAAATGAATTTAGAAAGTATAAAAACAAGAGAATGTATTACCTCTCTACGTCGACTTTTCTAAGAAGTTTGCGCAGATCTATCTGGCTTTTACTAGGAGTACTAACAAAATAAAGATATAAAAATTAGAACCTGCCAGATTTTATCATTTTTTTCCCCAAAGCAAAGCAGCCATTTCTATAGGCAATGTCCTAGAATGTAGTTTTATTCGTTACATTAACACATTAATGGCCATGTGAGTTGTATTTAACTCACGCTAGTTTTGAGCTGAGGGCCTCTTGAAGCATATGTAACTCACGTGTCTCTTCACCTTGGGAGCCGCGTGAACTATTTTTTAAGTTGCATATAACTCATTCACAGAAAACAATAAAAAATAACCTATTTTTCATTAAATTAGAAAGGATCATTTTGTTTTTGAAGTTTTTATTCTATTTTTGTAATAAAGCACTGTGGCCCCAAGGAAAAAATTTTTTTTCTAGTGTGGCAATGTGTTAAAAAGTAGCAGTAGATGCTGATGGGAGCATACGGTGATACAACCATCCTGAGTAATACTTCTTGATGTGGTAATTACACTTATAAGAATCCATCCCAGGGAAAAACTCAGCTGTGCACAAAGATGATGAGCAAGGATGTTCATTGAAGAGCTATAGAAATTAAAAATCATAAACAACCTAAGATGTCTCTTATTTGGAGACATCAAAACAAGATTGTATCTATGAAGTTTACATACAATGCATTGCATATATTGAAGAAGTCAAATGATATTTTAAGCTAATTTTTAATAAGATGGGAAAAAGTTCATGACATGTTAAATGGGAAAAACTGTAATTGTATCTACAATGATTATACACAGGCACACAAATACATATATTCCATTCTTTGGGTTTTTTTTCCAGAGATTGGATCATTTTTTTTTTTTTTTATTAGACTAGTCAAGTGCAGTAGTGAGGACGGGGGAAAGTAGTAGAACAAGGAGTTCAATTTGTAACTGACTGTGAACAATCAAGTGAGATAATTCACTACCTTTGGACCAGCCTGGGTCTTGATCTGTTGCCCAGGCTGGAGTGTAGTAGTGCAATCATAGCTCACTGCAGCCTCAAACTCCTGGGCTCAAGCAATCCTCCCACTTCAGCCTCCTGAGTAGCTGGGACTACAGGTGCATGACACCATGCTCGGCTAATTAAAAAAAAAATTTTTTTAGAGATGGAGTCTCACTAAGTTGCCCAGGCTGTTTTGGACTCCTGGCTCAAACGATTCTCCTACCTTGGCCTCCAAAAGTTCTGGGATTACAGGCTTGAGCCACCACACCCAGCCAACATATTCCATATTTCCTTAATTCCAAGACATACTAATTTTCATATTTTATTCTTTCAGAAATTAGACTATTTTTAAAAATTCTTAATAGTATTTCTTTTCTCCCAAAATGTTACTAAATCAATGGTGTATTTTATAATAAAAAGTTAGAAATAAGCAAAAAATCATTCTTTTAAATAATAGTAAAGCATAGTGCTGTGCAGTTCCTTACATTAAGACATTTGTAACTCGAGTTGATAACACTTTGGAGTTAGGTTTCAGGGTAACACGCTGCAGGTCACTGACAGTAACTAGTGGATTCCGTGCCTTCGGTGATGGTACAAGCTTTAATTATAAAACGAGACATTATTAAAAACACATTTTAAAACATCACTCAAAATATAAACATGCTGAAACAGCAAATATCTGAGTGCTAAGTAGGCATAAGACATATCTACTACTCTACCCAATTTTTATTCCAAAGTTTCAAAGTGTGTCTCTACCTCTTCAGACTAATGGTTGGGAGTTAAAGCTGCCTAATTAAATAATTTTGGGATCTACACATTTTGTTGAAGAGATCCAAAACTACTAAAATAAAATACCAAATACTTAACTTGGAATGACTTCTATACATAAGGCTTATGTTTATTTTTCACAGAGGTACAACCAGATTAAAAGCAGAAAGACTATGTATATGGCCAATGACATCTTACCTTCCTCCTTTCATCAAAACTCTGTGTCTTCTTTAATTTCACGGTGAGTAGATCTTTGACTGTTATATGCATGGGTCCATCTTTTTTTAATGGTCTAGTCTTAAAATATATGGACAAGTTAGAATTTAAATTAGAATGAGGACAACTGGTGAACTGCAAACCAAAATCTAGTTTTTAAAGACTCAGAGTTAGGAGTCTATGGCCATACTGCCCTGAACGCGCCCAATCTAGTCTTATCTTGGAAGCTAAGCAGGGTTAAGCCTGGTTAGTACTTCAATGGGAGAGTTAAGAGTTAACTCTTATTTACCCTAGGAACCTATCAAATTCTTTCCACTAAACTAAGAATGATCCTGTTTTCAGTATCCATGGATGGTAAGGCTATTGAAAAGTATTCCTCAAAATGTAAGGCTGTGATAATAAATAAGACATGGACTAGTTCCCTGAAATAATATATCTTTCCCAGCAGACATTATAATAAGGTGGGACTGAAGGAATTACTCAGATCAAAGTGAACTTTTGCCTCAAATGCCTAGAAAGATGACTGGGTTCCCACAGAGTAAGAATGTATAGTCAGAGAGGTATACATTAGGGCAAATATAATAGGCTCTGGATTTAACTCAGCTATTTTAAACCAAATGTATCTGTGGTGAAAATTCAGCAGATTTTAAAACAGGGTCATGCCTACCTTAATGATTCACAAATATTCTAGGTCCCTTGGCACATAAGTAACTGCATGGAGAACTGGTTCTCCAGCCTAATGACAGTAAACTTTAGAATCCACCAACTCTTTGTTCTGACTTCACTCACTAAGCAATCTTCTGTTCTTAATTTTGTTTCCTAGGGAGGTTTTCCTTTTGGTAAAAAGATTCACTGAGAAACCAGTAAGAATCTTCTACTCTACACTCTGATGTTTCATACACATCACTTTCATTTTTAAATCCAGCTTTTGTAAGTTTCCTGGGGACTGAGTTTTTAAAAACACAATAATTAACATAATTAAGAATCAGAACAAAATATAGTCTTCCAGTCCAAGCCCTTAGACCAGTCTTAAATGGCCGCTTTGCTTTATTCCCATATTACACACTGACCAAAACACACCATTACTAGATTGTTTCCTACCTGAAGTGCTTTAGTGAGGTTGGACTTTCTGAGCAGCAAAGGTGCTAGTGGTGGTGGGGGAGGGGGCAGAGGAGGAGGTGGAGGGGGTGGTGATGGAGGTGGAGGAGGAGGAAGATGGCTGGCTGGCTGTGGCAGTGTGGGAGGAAGTACAGCTCCAGCTCCGGATTCTCCAGGGATGGTGGTTATAGCACAGGCAGGCACAGCTGTAAGTTTACTACTCATGTGACACGTTTGACCACAGCTTGGACAGCAAGAACTTTCTGAACTGGCCTGGAATGAGACATTATATTTTGCAAATTAATTAATACATTCAACAAGTTAACTTAATTCTTGCAGCTGAAAGTCATCATAATAATAGCTACCGTGTATTGGATGCTTTCTTGCTGTACCATGAGCTGCTTAATATTTTCTCATTTAATTATGACAAGTTTCTTCACTCATTCATTTATTCATTCATGTATTTGTTTTGTATGTGCTATATGCCAGGCACTGTGGGTACAATGTCAGCCCTGTCTGTCACCTTATGGAGCTGATAGTATGGTGAGGAAAGACAGATATTAAACACACGCACACACTCAAAACAAAATAAAACAATACTTCAATAAGAACAACGAAGTGTGCTGTGAGCATGACTAGCTAGAGGCTTGGGGAGTGATATTTAGCTATGATCTCAAGGGGGAATTGAGACTTACCAGGTGAAGGAAGATGAGGACTAAGGGAAGAGTTCCTTGCAGAGGGAAAAATACTTAGTGTGGTCAAAAATATAGTACATTCAAGAAACTGATAAAAGGCCAAGGGGCTGGAACATGACCGTTGTAGACCGAATTGTGTCCCAAAATTTTTAAGTTGAGTCTTAATATCCAAAACCTCAGAATGTGACTATATTTGGAGACAGGGCCTTTAAAGTGGTGATTAAATTAAAATGAGGCCATTAGAGTGGGTTCTAATCCAATCTAACTGGAGTTCTTATAAGAAGAAGAAATTTGAACATGAACAGAGACACCAGGGATGTGCTCAAACAGAGAAGACCATGAGAAGACAGCCATCTACAAGCCAAAGAGAGAGCCTCAGAAGAAACCAACCCTGCCAACACCTTGATCTCAGATTTCTCAATTCCAGAATCGTAAGAAAAAAAATTTCTGTTATATAAGCCACCCCAAGTCTATGATACTTCGTTATAGCAGCCCTAGCAAATGAATGCAATGACCCTATGAAGTAAAATGGTTATTAATTTCCTGTGACTGCTATAACAAATTGTCACACACTTAGTGGCTTAAAAGAATTGAAATTTATTTTCTCACAGTGCTAGAGACTAGAAGCTGGAAACTAAGGTGTCAGCAGGGCTGCACTCCTGCCCAAGGATCTGGGAAAGAATCAATTCCTTGCGTCTTCCAACTTCTGGTAGCTGTCAGCATTCCTTGGTTTGTGGCTGCACACTCCAATCTGTCTTTGTGGTTACATTTGTTAAGACCCTTTTCCCCGATAAGGTAATATTTACAGGTTCTGGGGATTAGGACCTAAACATACATTTTTGGAGGCCACTATTCATTCAGTCCCCTACAGATGATACAGAGGAGTGAAACAACTTGCCTTTTTCTCTTATGGCTAGTTCATCTTGAGGTACAAGTTCTGGGACCTGGGGTGGAATTCCAGAAGCTTCTCTTCAGACCAATAAGCATAATGTTGAGACATTGAGAACAGGGGCCTTGCTTGGTTGGGGGAGTTTGGAACAGATATTTTATAGGCTTTTTTTTTCCTGCATCCTTCAGTTAAAGAATAGAAACCTTAGCCAGGCACAGTGGCGCACGCCTGTAGTCCCACCTACTCTGGAGGCTGAGGTGAGAGGATGAGTTAAGCCTAGGAGTTAGGAGTTTGACTCCAGCCTGGGCAACATAAGGAGACTTCTTTAAAAAAAAAAAATCTTCCCATCCTTTTATATTCCAGGAAGCATCTTACTATAAAGAACCATCCTTTTCCATATCATTTAGATAAGACTTATGGTTAACCTCCTTGTTTATTTATGACAAGGCCAGACACAGACCCTCCAAATTCCCATTCTTTGTCTCATAAATGATTACCTGAACTGTTTCTTTTCTTTTTTTTTTTTTTTCTTTTTAATAAGACGGGGTCTCACTCTTGCTCAGGCTGGTCTCAAACTCCGGAGCTCAAGTGATCCTCCCGCCTCGGCCTCCCAGAGTGCTAGGATTATAGGCGAGAGCCACTGCACCCAGCCTACCTGAACTGTTTGTTGCCACTGACCAACCTGGGTAAAATAAAATATCTCTTGGATCTTGACCTACCCTTGGGCTTAAGGAAGCATTGGAACGTTAAACAACCTTTCATCTGAAGAATTGGTTGACCTCAGTGAAAAAAATGTTCTCTGGTCAGATCAACTGTCTGATCACCACACCTGTTCATCCCACTTCCCCACATTTGGTTCCTTCTAGCCTTGTTTACTCCTCACTATAAAAGAAAAGCTCTTTCTGCCTGATGTTTGAGATGCTTATAAATCTTATGACCAGAGCATTTTCCCTATTGCAATTGTCTTACCTAATTTCAGATTTGTTTTTTATTTGACAATACCAACCTTCAGTGCTTCCTGGAGCTTGCATAATTCACTTTCCAAAATGCAAAACTGTTGTTTTAGACCCTGAAGTTCTCGGTGGCAGCTACGAGATGGAAAGATGGTGTCTTTCTATACTTCTAAACTCTGAAATTCATAAATACACAAGCCTGAATCCTATGAACAATATGATATGGACAAGAAAAAAGAAACCAGAAAGTGGTTTATTTTTTGTTTTGTTTTTTTTTTCATTTTTTTGCCTTAGTAAGACCCAAGTTTGATGTATGTTTTACAGAAACAAAGGCAGACAGGACCCCATAGTTTCATCTTATCTGAGCTTAGCCTGAGTCTTGTGCTAACTTGAGCAGAAGACACGCATAAATACAAACATCAAGTATGTAGAAAAACTGTATTCCTGAATACAGATATGTCAAATCCATACCTGGGCTATGCAGTTCTGGCACCAGGTGTATATAGACCATACTCCATTTGTCCAAAGTTTTATTCTATCTTTGATGTTGGGAAAGTTGAAGTTCCAGGATGATCTTAACCAGCTTCTGCTATGGGATATATCTGCTGAAGAAATAATCACTCTGTAGGAAAAAAAAAAATAGAAAAAAATTAAAAACCCCTAAGTCAGAATAACAGCCTCTAATTAAACAAGAAGCTGGTTTTATAGCATGTCTCAGAAGCAGAGACTCCCCATAGCCAAAATTCTACAATTCAGGGATTCATTTATCCAACAAATATTTACTATGTACCTACTATGCTCCAAGTACCAAGGATTCAATAATGAATAACATAGAAACAATCCTGCCTGATGGAGTTTATGGTCTCATGAGGGAATAAAGATAAAAAATGAATAAATAAATAAGTAAAACATATGGGTTGCTAGATAATGAATAAATGCTAAAGAGAAAAAATTAAAGCAAGAGAGGGAAAATGTGAAATGTTGGATAGGAGTAAAATTTTAGGTAGGGAAGCCCTAGAAAGTCTCACTGAGAAGGTGACTTTTGAGAAAAAGCCTAAACTAAGTAAGGAAGCTGGCAATGCAAATATCTGGGAGAAGAGCAGTCCAGAGAGAGGGAATAGTAAGTGCAAAGGCCCTGAGGTGGAAGTTTGCCTGAAGTGTCTGAGGAATAGCAAGGATGCCAGGATTACTAGGGTAGAGAGACTTATTAGAAAATATGGTCAGAGGCCGGGCGCAGTGGCTCATGCCTGTAATCCTAGCATTCTGGGAGGCTGAGGCGGATGGATCGTTTGAGCTCACGAGTTCAAGACCAGCCTGAGCAAGAGCGAGACCCCGTCTCTACTAAAAAATAGAAAGAAATTAGCCAGACAACTAAAAATATATAGAAAAAATTAGCCGGGCATGATGGCACATGCCTGTAGTACCAGCTACCCGGGAGGCTGAGGCAGGAGGATCGCTTGGGCCTAGGAGTCTGAGGTTGCTGTGAGCTAGGCTGACACCAATGCACTCTAGTCCAGGCACCAGAGTGAGACTCTGTCTCCAAAAAAAAAAAAAAAAAACGAAGAAGCAGCATTGGTGAGTTTTAAGTAGAGGAGTAACATGACTTATGATTTTCACTGGCTCACTCTGGCTACTGTGTTGAGAATACACAGCTGGGGGGCAAGGACAGAAGCAGGACCGTTAGGAGACTTTTACAATATTCAGGAGAGCTAGAAAAGAGTCAAGTATGACATCATCATGGTTATTGCATTTTAAGGGTCTGTTTTTAAAAACTTTTTGTAAAGAGAGCTATAGCAACAAAGTTCCTGTGAAAAAGAGTCTCTTTCGGCCGGGCGCGGTGGCTCACGCCTGTAATCCTAGCTCTCTGGGAGGCCGAGGTGGGCGGATTGTTTGAGCTCAGGAGTTCGAAACCAGCCTGGGCAAGAGCGAGACCCCATCTCTACTAAAAATAGAAAGAAATTAATTGGACAACTAAAAATATATAGAAAAAACTAGCCGGGCATGGTGGCGCATGCCTGTAGTCCCAGCTACTCAGGAGGCTGAGGCAGAAGGATTGCTTGAGCCCAGGAGTTTAAGGTTGCTGTGAGCTAGGATGATGCCACAGCACTCTAGCCAGGGCAACACAGTGAGACTCTGTCTCAAAAAAGAAAAAAAAAAGAGTCTCTTTCGGTAGCACAGAGAATCAATGACTAAACTTTACCAATACTAAGATTTAAATTCTAGTCCTATGCCCCTCTTTCATCACTTAGTTGTCAGACTTATGCAATTAAATCCACCAGGAAAGGAGAAAATAGTTACCGTGCATTTGAACATAATTCCTTGTGATTCTCATTTCATTTGAACTCTTAAACTATGGCTGCCACATAAAATTCAGGATGTCCAGTTAAAATTTAATTTCAGATAAAGGATGAATAACTTTAGTATATAAGTATATTCCAAATGTTGCATGGGACATACTTATATTAAAAAATTATTCATTGTTTATCTGAAATTCAAATTTAGCTGGGTGTTCTGTATTTTTATTTGCTAAATCTGGTATCTCTATCCTAAATTGATCAGATCTCTCTAGTATTTTCTCTGTTCCACATTATGCCTTACCTTTCAGGTGAGGGCGGTGGAGGAGGAGGTGTAATTAGCTTGGATTGGAAGTGAGAGCCTTCTTTTTTTTTTAATAATCTTTTGGCTTTGGCTTTTAGCTTTCTTCTTCGTTGTTTAAACTTGGGCATGATTTCTGTAGAAAAAAATTTTTTTACATTTGTTACTGAAAAATAATAAATACATATAGAATGTCCACAAATCTTAAGTGTATTGTTCAGTGAATTATACTGTGAACACATTCTTGTAATTGTTGGGTTGCAGTCTGAAATGTCGGTTCTTAGTGCGCTCTTGGCTGAAGAATGACCAGACACACTGAAAGTAAGGTAAGCATGAAAATGAGGTTTATTGAGGAGAGAAAGATAGGATTATAGAGCAAGAGCAGGATATAGGTTTACACAGCAAGATACATATGCCACAGATGACAATTGGACCCATTGTTGTAGCAAAAGAGAGACCTTGGTTATGGTCTGGGTCTTGTTTTATAGTGTCTGGATTGGGACCTTCGTGTGGTTCAGACATCATCATGGAACCACTTCGATGGACAGTTGGAAGTTATATGACCTCAGTCTTACTGTGTATGTGGATCTCTCATGAGCCACTCTGAAAGCCTGTTTAGGGGGATGGTGAACTGCAGTGGCACCCACTTTTGTCCCTAGGAGACCTGAAATCCTTTGCTATTTACCTGACATTAACAACCACCTTGGTCAAGAAATAGATCACTACCAGCATCCCAGAAGTCCCCTGAGTGGAGGAAATGTAAATCCAGATTTAAACTCTCTCTGGAGATATCTCTAAGTTCGTTTTGCTTCTGTTGCTTTTCTCCATTAAGTTAAATGAATTTCCCCTTCTTTTTTTTTTTTAAGCTACACATGAAACGAAGTTTATTGAGCAAGGGCAAGATAGGTTTACAGAGCAAAAGCAATATATGTTCATCACGGACAACGAACGGACCCCCTGTTGTAACAAGAGGGGTCCTCCCTTTCTTTAAAACAGAGAAAATGGCTATAGTTGGGTTACGGTCAGTTATTAAAAGAATGCAAGTTTCTTTACCAATAACATTTACTGAGCTTCCACTGTGATAGGTAGAGTTGGTAGTAGGAGGAGGACACAACATTAACTGTTAATTGAATGCCCCTTTACTTTTAGGCAATTTCACATATATTTTCTCAGTTAATCCTCACTATCCTGCAAGGTGTTATCCCTGCCAAGGAGAATTTTTATCCCCATGTTTACAAAAGAATAAACCGAGGGTTAGAAAGATTAGATAATCTGCCAAAGCAATGCAATAACTTCTAAAGTCCAAATCTGTAAATCTTCAAAGACGGTTCCTTCTAATACACTGTGGTGCAGTAGTAGATTAAATAGCCAACTTACTGTACAATGAAATAACTGTTACCCCAATTCTGATACTTGGGTGTCTTAAAATGTTTATTTTAAATCATTTAAAAAACATTATCTAATATATTCATATTTTAATCCAGGTCCTTTTCTGAAGAAAATTAAGTCAGAGCTAATTTGAGCTGAAGTTCCAGAAGGGCTTTGCTGGTTTTAGTTGTTGCTACTTGAGGAACAAAGACATGGTTATTCAAGTAGCAGAACTGAAAATGGTCTCAAAGCCTAGGCCTCCTTCCCGACAAACTCACATTTGAATAGGAACAATTGGCCTTCAAAATACACATTCATTCCACTTTTGCTCACTCAGTAACCTTTCAGCACTTGGTATGGGGCACTCCACATGCTCAGCTCTCAAATTCCACTGGCTGAAGAGTTTCCCCATCCTGCTGTGGGTTGTAAAAACCAAGTAGCTTGGTTCCAAGACTTGCAGAGGGCATCCATAATGGCAAAGGGGGACAGTGTATCAACAATCCTTTTCCTAGAAGATTCTTTTTTTTTTTTTGGAGACAGATTCTTGCTCTGTTGCCCGGGCTAGAGTGCCGTGGTATCAGCCTAGCTCACAGCAACGGCCACCGTGTCTGGCTAATTTTTTCTATTTTTAGTTGTTTGGCTAATTTCTTTCTATTTATAGTAGAGATGGGGGTCTCGCTCTTGCTCAGGCTGGTCTTGAACTCCTGAGCTCAAAGGATCCACCCTACTCGGCCTCCCAGAGTGCTAGGATTACAGGTGTGAGTCACCGTTCCTGGCCCCCAAGACTTACCAATTGTTAATTGCCATATCTGTGCAGGTACTCGGTCCATGTGTGCATGCACAAATATGTACATATGTATACATACATAAAATTTTATAGGTTTTGGTTGAGTAAAATTAGTTGCAGACATAATGATACTTCACTCTCAGATACTTTAGCTTATGTTTCCTAATGTGGCCATGGAAATTCTTTTACAAAACCACAATCACAGTCAGGAAATTATCTTATCTAATAAACAGTCCATATTCAAATTGCTTCAATTGTCTCAATACTATTCTTTATAGCTTTTCCCTCCCCCCTCCACAATGCATTTTGCTTTAGTCTCCATTCATTCATAACAATTCCCCAGCCTTTTTAACATATGTATTTGCTCTTCACATTTCTTTTTTTTCCTTTTCTTTTCTTTTTTTTTTTGAGACAGTATCTCACTCTGTCACCCTGGGTAGAGTACAGTGGAGTCATCATAGCACACTGCAACTTCAAGCTCCTGGGCTCAAGTGATCCTCCTGCCTCAGCCTCCCAAGTAGCTGGGACTGCAGGTGCACCCCACCACACCTAGCTAATTATTCTATTTTTAGTAAACACGGGATCTCCCTCTTGCTCTGGCTGGTCTCCAATTCCTGAACTCAAGTAATCCTCCCACCTCCAGCCTCCCAGAGTGCTAGGATTATAGGTGTGAACCATCACTACTAAAATTATAAAATATTTTTATATTACCATAAAATTTATTATTATTATTTTTTTAGTGACAGAGGAATCTTGCTATGTTGTCCAGGCTGGGTCCTGAACTCCTGGCCTCAAGAGATCCTCCTGCCTCAGCCTCCTGAGTAGCTGGGACTACAGGTGCAAGCCACAGCACTTGGCATAATTTATTACTTTTTATTGTAATTTTGTTTGCATGTTTGTCGCCCTGCTGGAGTGTGAGCTTTTCAAGGGTATGATAAATTTTATTTATCTTTGTTTCCCCAGCATCTAGAGTATAGCAGGCACTAAATGTTTCATTCCAGAAATGAATGAAAGAAATCATTCCTGCTAAAGGTTAGCTAGCAAGTGTTCTTTTAGTTAAGGAATATGTTTCAACACAATTAAATTCTCTTAGGGAGGTTTTTAGTTCTTCAAATCATACCACATCTTCATATGATTGAAGGATGCGTCCAAAACTATTTTCCAGTAGGAAGATGCAATAAATAATACAGTAAGAATTACAATCTTCTGCAGGAGTTGGCACTGCTGCTTCTATCAAAACCCTACACAATGATATAAAAAGTTCTTTGGTCAGGGGCACTTCCGAAGCTGTAGCAGCAACGGAAATGACAGTTGCATTTCATACTATATTCCTAAAACACATTTTTATGGAGATCTCTTACACTCCCCCACAAATAGCCTTCAGTCAATTAATCGATTTCCATTACCAGTTCAATTGATCCTTCCTGAACACCTATAGCGACATTTCTGGTACTTGTTTATATTTAATTTTACGTTTTATGCTGTGCAGCATTGCTTTTTTAGTCACTGTCTTGTTTCTGTAAAGAGACTGCCGATCCCTAAAGTCTCGTCCAGCACAGTGTTAGGCATGCAGTAAACAGGTCACACTTTTTAAATTGACATTCTTACAGAATTCCAGACGATATCAAGGAATATAGTAATATTCCCAGTCAAGAATGTTACTTAAACACAGAAAATTTACCTTCTCAAACTTTAATGTGCATAAGAATCGCTGGGTGGAATCTTGTTAAAATGCATATTCTGATTCCGTAAGTCTGGGTGGAGCCCGATAATTTGCTCCCAAATATATTTTGCGGAGTGTTCATTAAATGGAAGTATGGTTAGGAGGGAGCCAGGCCGAGCACTTCTTCCCTAGTCCCAAACCTCCCCTTCCCCCCTCCATCCCCTCTCTTCGTCTAGCCCAAGTCCCCACTTCCTTAAGCCATTAGAGTACAAGCAACGACAGGCCCAGCTACGGAAGACCCGAGCCCAGATAACAAAGAAAGAATAGTCCCTGCACTTACTAGTCTAAGAGCCTGGGGATTAGATGGAGTCCAGGCAGTGGCCTCTCCTACTCCGTCAAGAAAAATTCAAAATTAAATCCTTGTCATGGAGGGACCAATCGTAGACACGGTCTCTCCACGATTCGCTCTCTCGGTAGTGCAGGGGAATAGACTGGCTTGTGATTGGCTGAGGTAGCACAATGCCCCAGCCAATGAGAGCTGAGGCGCTTCTAGTATGAATAAGAAGCAGGCGGGAGAGAAGGGGAGGGGTCGCAGGAGAGGAAAGAAGGTGTGTCACGTCCCCTATGCTGTCGGTGGAAGCTTTTGTGTAATTGGTTGGCTCTTCTTCTGATTGCACCAATCGCCAGCCCGTCTCTGCGGAGCTCTAACTATAAAATTGAAAGTAGAGAAGAGGAGGCAGCCAATGGAAAAAAAAATGTGTACAGCAGCCAATCCTCCTGAGGCGTTTTGTGTCTCTGCCCAACAGGAAAATGTGTTTCATGCGGAGGGGCGTTACCTAGTCGCCAATGGGCGGGCGCGAGTGGAACCGAGGAGCCAATGAGTGCGAGTCTTTGAGTGACAGCTGTCCAATAGAGACCCTCAGTGCTGGTACGGCTAGCGGCTTAAGCGCCGCCGCGGTCTGAGGAATGTCAACTATTCAACATGGAGGCGGAGGTCGATAAGCTGGAACTGATGGTGAGTGCAAAGTAAAGGAGATCTGCTAGGTAGTTTATTTTTCCCCAGTGGCCCCCGAAGTTGGGGCGCAATTTGGAGTCGCCGGAAACTCTGGGCGGCGGAGGCTGGACCAGAGTCTAGTTCCCTCCTGCTGCACCAAAGGGAGCCGCCACCGCCTGGTGTCTAAACCGCCGCGGGGGAAGGGGTTACATCCGGGAAACTCGTGAGGGAAATGGCGGGAGATGCTGAGGGTGCGGGGCCTTTGGAATTCCTTGTTCCTCACCCTCACCTTTCCATTCCTTAAGGAGCTGCGCCTGGTGCAGACAGCATTCTGTTTCCACCAAAAAAAGATGTGACTGGAACGTTCTCTAAACGCCCCACGAATAGGAGCGGTCGTTCACACTCCTAGAAAGGGGGATGCTGGGTGGGGTGGAGAATAAACCGAGGAGGGCGGGAAGAAATCCTTTCGGGGCTGAACTGTTCGTTCAAGTTCTCAAAGACAAGCTGAGAAAGTCTGAGGAAGGATGCTACACTTGCTTGCACAACTTCTTAGCGGCCAGGGAAGCCCCTAGACCCATTTCTGTTTGGCCCAGAGGTGGCAAACCTTGGGTGAGGGAGAGGTGTGAGCGATGGGGATCTGAACCACGAGCTCTTTTCCTGGAGCGCGGGCGGGATTGGTACAGGGTAAGAACGCTGCTCTCTAGTTGCCCAGTTTCATTCATCTGTGAAAGCAGAAGGTGGGGGCGAAGAATAGGAAAGGACTCCCGTTATTGCTGGCGTGTTTGGCCTGCACTAGGGCGCCAATCTGGGAGGTTGTCCTTCTAGTTTTCTTTAAGGATCTTTCCCTCTCTAGTCCTCTTTATCCCCTCCCTCCGGTCCCTAGATTTCCGGCTTAGCTTGATCGCCCGCGCTTTTTTCTTCTTCGTTGCCTTGTTCTGTGTTAATGAATTGGAGTGCCTCTAATATACAAATTTGATTTGAAAGCTTTTATTTGCTTTTAAACATTTTGTATTTAAATTTTCTTTATGGAGGGGGTGTGAGAATGGAGAGGGGTGGGGAGAATTGGCAGGGAAGAAGGAAAAATTTTCTTCAGATATTCAAACCTGTAATAATGACCTTTTGGTCAAAGTTTTATTTTTATCATTAACTGCCTTTTAAAAAACAAACAAAATGCTAAGTGTTGTATTAATAATTTGATTCTATCAACAGGCATAAATGTTTATTTTGTCATGCCCCTTTTCCATTCTGAATTCCTTCCTCTAGATGTAGGTATTTCTGCTTAATTGTTAGATGTTATTTCTGCTTTTAACAGGTTGTTTTTTTTTTCTCAAGTTGACTGGTTAATATTTAAGCTTTTTCTGGCCTTTGCAATAGAGTCAGTATTACCACAGGACTTATTTAGATTGATCAAATTCTATTTTAAGGGAACAAGGATTAAGTAAACAGCTTGAAAAAGGGAGGTTTTAGAAAATTATAGGTAGCCAGACTTTTAAGCTTTTAGATAGTGTTTGAATGATGGGGCAGTTTTTAAATTCTTTTTGAAGAGAAGAAGAAAAAAGAGTTTTTTTTCTTTCTTTTCCCGTCCCTTTTTTTGCCCAAGTTCACAGAGATAGTAAAATATGCTGTTAGTCCTACTATATATATAACATATATATGTGTATATATGTATATGTATATCTACATTTTTAAAAGAGACTGGGGTCTCTGCTATGTTGCCCTGGTTGCTGGTCTTGAAATTCTGGCCTCTAGCTATCCTCTCACCTCAGCCTCCTCAGTAGCTGTGATTATAGGCTCAAACCACTGTGCCTGGCTTTTCTTTTCTTAAATTCCTTGCAATTAAATTAGTGGTAGTTGTTTTTTTCTTTCAAGTTATTAGTTTCCATAATTATTAATATTAGGGTTTAAAAATGTATTTGGACTTTTATCATGATTTTTAATATTACTGCTCTTTATTGACTAGATAGTAGAAGACAGTGCCTCTCACCTTCAGATTTGCTATGTGCTTTTAGAAAAAATGTTACATCCGTGAACCATGTTAGTTTCTAACATTCTAAAGGTAAATGATTTCCTTGGCAATCTTCTGACTTTTGGTTTTACATTACTTAAATAAAGGATTTGCCAAGGAGCCAGTATTGATTATTAATAGGTGAAAAGAGAATGCATACTATTTAACTTTGAAAAGAAGGTGCAGAGCCCCTCTGTCTTCGGTCTTGGGCTGTTGGGTGGTTTGGTTGGGTTATTCGCAGTGACGTGCCTGTAATTCCAGCCCTTTGTGAGGCAGAGGTGGGAGGATCGCTTGAGGCCAGGAGTTTGAGACTGGGCAATATAGCAAGACTCCGTCTCTACCAAAGAAATATTTTAAAAAAATTTGCGGGGTATGGTGATGAGCACCTGTGGTTCAAGCCACTGGGGAGGCTGAGGCAGCAGGATTGCTTGAGCCCCAGAATTCGAGGCTACAGTAAGCTATGATCCTGTCCCTGCAGTCCAACTGCCTTTTCTCAAAAAAAGAAAGAGTTTATCCTAATTTTGTAGATAGCCTAGTCCTCTTAATTTAAAAAATTTTTGTATTTCTCTTGTTTGTTTTAACTTCCAATTCAGAAAGGTAAACATTTCTCTTTTAAACACTTGTCTTTAAAACCTGATACTTGACTAGCAGAGTTAAATATTCTATAATTTCAGTTATGTGGCCTAAGATTTGCGGCCAAGACCCTCATGTTCCAGCTATCCTGAATGAGTCCACTTCTTGGTAGGCTCAATCCAACCAACTAGCTGAACTGAACCATTTAAAGGGAGGTTGGTGAAAACAAAGAGAATGTATTTCTGTATCAATCAACATTACTAATGGGGGAATAAGCTCATTGTAGGGCAGTCTTTGTTCTCTAAATTTTTTCTTCACTTATTGATTAAGTGGTATTTGCCTAGTGCCCTCCTTTTGGGGTACGACTACTGATTGTACACAAAAGATGATGCAATGTGATACTATGATACTATTTCTATTTCTGGGTTTATATCTGACTTTTGATTAACATTCTAAAAGGTTAGAATGTTAATTGGCTTAAAACTCCCGCCTCCCTCGGTCATGATTTTCTCTTTGATATTTCTAAATTTGAAGGAAATGGAAATGGCTTTCCTCCTATATTTAAGATATTTTGGGAGTTAACTGAAATTTTAAAATCTCCTTCTATAGTATTCATTTACTATTTTTTTCTTAACAACACCTTGATTTCACCCATAGTATTCATTTAGATGGAATTAATGTTGTTCTGTTGAGAGCACACTGATTCCCTCCCTGGCAGTCTCTTCCCTTGTTATAATAGCCCTCAGTAAACGCATGAGATGAAAAGCCATGAGATGGTAAGTGCTTTTTGTTTTTTTGTTATTGTAGTTTAGATTCCAGAGTGATAGATTGAATATGGAGAGACTGAGAAACTTCTTATTTACTTTTCATTTGTTTTCTTTAATATTCTTATTCAAAGGGCTCATTATATATGGCAGTTGGTCAGTTGCCTTGGAGAAGGAGCTAATCAACATCTCTGCAGAGACCAGAAACATTTTTCACAATTTTGCCTTAGTAGTAATTATAACCAGTTTTGTTAATACCAATCCTAAGGTATTAACAATAAACATGTTGATTACCTCTAAGGCTTAGGACATATTTACAAAATTCTTTTTTACACCTATACATGTTTCTGTTTGAATGTTAATTTGTGTTTTAGTTATCAAAAAATGATTTCACTTTGATATTTTAGTCTTATTCTTTCTTTTTAAATATTAATATAAATGTTTTTTGGTTTTGGATGTCTTCTGTCCAAAATGGCAACCCTACTTTAAATTCTTTTCACACTGAAGCTTCAACTGATGGAAGATGCTTTTGTGTTCCTTTCCTACTTATTACTGCTAACGAATGCTCTGACTTTATTGCACTACTGTACTTTACAGCTAGCAGTGCAATAGTATTGTCAAAGCATCTGAAAGCAGGACGCACGCCAGAATTTTGATTCTTGCCTTACGTCTTTCTTCAATATCTGTGAATAATTTACCACAGCCTTTGTTGCTGAAAACTATAATTTTGTTACTAACAGTGTACCTTTTAGAAAGTCACAATTTGAAAAGAAAAACTAATTAAAAGCTCACTATTGTATTGCATTATGAAACATATTGAGAGAATACTTTTTATATCTAAGTTGTTATGGCTTTTCTGAATGAGTAGTATCTTTACAATTTTCTGTTTTCTGTTAAAGATTTGTATAGGTTCTGGTAAATCTTAGGTTTTATTTAATTGAATTTTATGATGTACTGGGTAGGTGATGAAAACAATCTCTGCTGTATATTTCCTGTGGTAACTTGCCCCAAGCCTAAATGGCACTAATTTTGTGTATTATAGGAAATGTTTGAGTTTAAAACCTAAGAGTCCTTGGTTTTTTTTTGTTTGTTTGTTTTTGTTTTTTTCTGAGACAGAGTCTAACTCTGTCCCCCTGGGGTAGAGTGCAGTGGTGTCATCTTAGATCACTGCCTCAGCCTCCCGAGTAGCTGGGATTACAGGGGTGCACCACTACACCTGGCTAATTTTTCTATTTTTAGTAGAGACAGGGTCTCTGCTCTTGTTCAGGCTGGTCTTGAACTCCTGCCCTCAAGTAGTCCTCCCACCTCAGCCTCCCAGAGTGCTAGGTTTACAAGTGTGAGCCACCTTGCCTGGCCTGTTTGTTTGTTTTTTTGAGATAGAGTCTCACTTTATTGCCTGGGCTAGAGTGTAGTGACATCATCATAGCTCACTGTAACCTCCAACTCCTGGGCTTAAACCATCCTCCTCCCTCAGCCTCCTGAGAAGCTGGGACTATAGGTGTGCCCCCACCATGCCCAGCTAATTTTTTGATTTGTTTGTAGAGACAGGGTCTTGCTATGTTGCACGGCTGGTTTTGTTACAGGTACATGCCACTGGACCTAGCAAAACTCACCAATTTTAAATGTACAATTTAATGAGTTTTGACAAATGTATGTAATCATGTAACTATCACAAGCCAGGATATAGTACAACATTTCCATCACCTTAAAAAGTTCCTTTGCGGGGGGGGGGCAAGGGCAACATACATAACCTAAACATCTGTACCCCCATAATATGCTGAAATAAAAAAAAAAAGTTCCTTTGTGGTCTGGTATGGTGGAGCTCCCCTATAGTCCCAGCTACTCTGGTGGCTGAGGCAGGAGGATCACTTGAGCCCAGGAGTTAGAGTCTAGCCTGGGCAACATAGTGAGACCCCCTAACTTCCTTTCCTTTTGCAGTCAACTTCTTCCCAAACTCCTTGGCAACTACCAATATCTAGTTTTGCCTTCTAGAATTTCATATAAATTGAATCATACAGTATACAGCCTTTTGTGTCTGGCTTTTTAGCATAATGCTTTTGAGATTCATCCGTTTTGTATATATTAGTAGCTAGACAATTTTAATTACTGAGTAGTATTCCACTATAGAATATCACAAATTGTTTATGCATTCACCAAATTGTGGACTTTGGATCATTTCCCAGTTTTGCTTATTATGAATAAGGTTGCTGTGAACATTGAAGTACCTCTTTGTGTGGACATGATGTTGTCATTTCTTTTGGGTAAATACTGAGGGATGGAATTGCTGGGTAGCATGATAAATGTATGTGTGAAAAAAAATCTATGCTGGGCCGGGCGCGGTGGCTCACGCCTGTAATCCTCGCACTCTGGGAGGCCGAGGCGGGCGGATTGTTTGAGCTCAGGAGTTCGAGACCAGCCTGAGC